ATAAAGGCAACAGAAGGGCTTCAGACTTACTTAAACATCCCCCATCCAGCCTGTCTGGTAGGAGGCTTTTATAGTATGGTCGTCAGTATCTCGAGTCCTGCCTTTTGAGGCTGCTCAGAGAGCCAGCAGTGCAAATTAAAAGACAATGTTCCTTCTGTGCTGGTACTTACAGTTCTACTCCTACTGCAAATGCAGCAGCAAGGGCCATAAAATTCTGGGAAACCTGAGGGCTGTTTGGGATGTTATCACTTTATGAAAAAATGGCAAATACAGCAAAGTGCTTACATTATCTTATTATTAAATGTATTACACATTCACAGTATGTGTCATAAGTTACTGTAAAGAATTCTTTCCTGGCAACTCATACATTTTAAGAATAATTTTTTAAAATACCACACATAAAGAAAATGACAAGATGATAAGCAGCTAGGGGAATTTTTTTTATTTTTTTTTTTTAAGCATTGACAACTAAGTAGATGATTAATAAGTTTTAAAATAATGATAGAAATGCTGCCAAGATAACATAGAATTTTTCCTATGTTTTTTTCTCCTGGTACTTTACGTTGCAGTCTGCAGTGCATCTCTTACTCTATTTTTTCTAGAATTTCTACAAAACAGTTTTATATTTCCCAAACATGCAGTACAGAACAGAACACGACCTTGAAGAAAATACACCAAGAGAAACCATCAAGACAGCAAGCCACCATCTATTCCCATCTACTGTTACAGCTGCTTTATTTCCAAAATCTATCAATATTTTATGATAGATTAAATATTACTGGATTTTATATTCATGCCTTCAAGCAGAATTTCAAAAAATGAATCAAAGGGGTCTGGAATATTCTCCAACTCAACTCTTCAAACACTAGGTGTCCTACATCTGGATAGCTTTACCTGCTCAGAGGCAAAGGTGGCTGATGTGTGCATCTCTGGCATCTAAACTTCACCATGATGCAGAGAGCAAGAGTATCGTATTCTGTTGATAGGTTTTAGTCCTTAAATATTTCTGGCACAGACCAACAGTGCTGCATTTAGCCCTTCAGCAGCTGCTCATTCCTCTGCACTCAAGACTAGTTAGATAGAATGAGGAAACCAAACTGTAGCTTGGTCCGGAATCCAAAACCTGTCCCTTGCTAGAGCACTCTGTTCCCTCATCTTCAGAATTCCCTTCTGGATTCCCTCACATTTTCAAGCACATTCAGCCAACTCTTTAACAGATGCTGTAATTCACATGACAACTGTGATGGCACGATGGCTCTACACCTCTCTTTGCCATACAAGGGCTTTTGGTTCCAAATCCTGCATACACACACGGCATCTGGACTTACTAATTTGTGCACTGTGTATCATTTATTTTCAACAAAGAATGCAAATCTTTTGTGTGACTCTCAAAATATATCATAATATAAGGTAACAAATAATTACTTTGCATCACAGATATAACTACCTGAAACCATTTTCAATTAGTATGCAAACAACTAACTGAAACAAATTAAAGCCACAGAACTTTAGTGTAAAATAAAAGGCTTTTGCACTTACTGCTATTTTTTTCTAGAATGCTGCAGTTAATCAAAATATTCAAACTATGCATATGTAGAATGAAATCTCATATAGAATTAAAGGACTACATACATCTTTACCACAAGCCACATGTTAGAATAGGAGTCCTGAATACAAAGATCATGTTTACATCAAGAATACAAACTAACTCTCATTCACAAATTACTATAAGCAGTTTGCTGAATATCCAAATAATGTATAGAAGATAGACTTCAGGTAACAGGATTTAAATTAATAATTGTATTATGCATGTTTTTCAAGAAGTGCAATAATTAAGTGCAATAATTAAAAATATCATCATTGTCAAACTCCTGTTTGTTAGCAACTGACATCTCCTACTTTGGACACAAAAATAAACTAGTTTACCAATCACAGAGTAGACCTATATTACACAAAGAGCTTTTTAACACCATAATAGCAAAAATGCTACAGGTTCCAAAATACATAATATGTAACATGTAGGAACGTGTACATTAAACACTCATAGTATGGCAAATATCCATACTAATTTTGCTAAACACAATTTTCTTACAGAATTGGCATATTTTATCTTTACTCAATACTTCCCTGTATTCGGGATCTCAGACTCCCAAGAATCTTTTGAAAATTAGCACTGAAGAAGAATTTGTGTAATCAGCTAGTCTACTGCCCTTTTCTAAAGCCGGAGACATTAGAAAAATTTTAAAACACAACATAGGTGATAATGCAAATTTTGTAACTTCCTAAGGCAATCTATTGCACAGCTTAACCCACAGAAAGCTTTCCTTGTATTCCACCTTCATCTTTCTTGTTGCAACCTAATGCCATTACTTCTTCCTGAAGCAAAACGGAGACATGGGGGAAGGCACTTTATCATCATTCTCTTTTCAGCTTCCTTTCACATATGTGAAACCTGTTGCTATGTTTCCATATTTCCTTTGTCCCTTCTTTTAGGTTTGTCAGATCTACTAAGCCTGCACCACACCAGGATGCAAAGGCTGCCCTTAGATTTTTTTTAAAGTTACTGAAATGTCAACAATTACACAGAGCAAAAATCCAGACAGTTCAGTATTTTACCTATTATTAAATCACAACTATTCAAAACCTTCTGAAATGTACATTGTATCTTTTTCCTATAACAACTGTTACTCATCCCATATTAATTTGGTAGCACTACACTAAGCAATACTATTATCAGTTATCTGATAATGATCATAAAGGCATCATTACTCCCAGGGTAGAATAAGAAAATTAGGTTGTACAGAGTTTTCCATCCCTGAACCAAAGTTAGAACAGAATTTGATCACCCAGTGGTGGACAATCAGCTTCTTTCACAGCTTTTTGAATGACCTCCTAGAAGTATAAACAGAAAAGATTTAAGAGAGGATTGGCATAGTGAAGGGAAAAAATATTTTCAAATGACTGAGAGGCTTGCTATGCTTCTCCTTCCTTTCAAGATCATCAGGGATCTAAGGAACAACAAAGGCTAATCCAGCCTATAAAAAAAAGAGAAGTATTTCTTGCCTTTTTTTTTTATCTGTAGCAACAATAGTCAAACTTAGTTGGGAGGTTAGATTTAAGCTGTCAGTAAATACATTACAACTGCAGAATACATAATATATGTACTTCATAGAAAAGTATTTTTGTCAGAATAGTGGGGGAAAAAATTACTTTGTCGTACATCATGAGCATGTTAAGAGAATAATTCTTAAGTGAATTTACTGTTTCTCTCAGTTTACTCCACTTTGTCTACCAACAGTAACGATTCTAGGAATTGAGTACAACCACTTTTCCCAGCTTCATCTGCTCTCCATTTCATAATCAATTCATACCCCTGTAACTAGAGCAACTTTTGTATGAAGAATATTATAGTATTACAGATACACTAGAAGTGTGATAGTCATCTTGTCACTCCTCTAAAAAGTTTCCAATCTGGATCTTGAACGAAATCACTAAGGAGCTCTGAGGAAAAAAATGCACCACATGCATTTAAGGTCCCTTCCAACCCAAACCATTCTATGATTCTATGCTCAGGCAGTCTCAATCCTTGTAGAGAAGGATGAGCCTCAACAGAAGAGAAATGTTGGTAAAGTCCAGCCAGAAACTCAGCTGGCAGCAGCAAAGGGACACAAACAAGGACTGTGAGGATAACCAGGTTATTTTAGTTCTTCCTGATTTTATTTTTTTTTCTTGAGTGGCTATTTCATACCATTTCCTGTCTCATTTTCTAATTATTTTAGTCACGCTGAAGTTCAGCTTCTGACTGCACTGCCTTTTCTTCCACACAGATATTTTTCTTATTATTTTACTTTAATTACGGTTTTAATTTGCAGGTATTTTAATATTTTTTCTTCTGTGTTCCCAAAAGCTTTTACAAGAATGAAAAAAAAAAATATAGAATAATCTCTTCCTTTATATTTGCACACTCCCTGATCTCAGCCATGGTTCCAAAATCCTCTCAAATCCTAGTAAAATTGATTTGACTTGGCTATGGATCACTGGTATTTTTCCCTGCACAAATCCCTGGCCCACAGTTTGGACACCTCTTTCAGAGGAACAAAATCATGATGCCAAAGGAAATCTAACAGCTTGCAATGATTACCTTCATCAAAATGTCTTAAAAATTAAACATATTTATGGGGTCATACTACAAAATACAATATATATACATATATGCCAATAAAATCTAAAAATAATTATCTTTATTTTTTAAGGCATTCTTTTGTCTAAAAAACTCCTGTTAAAATCATGTGTACCAATGAAAATATGTACTCTTACAGACTAAGGTTGAAAAAATAAGTAGTAAAATTTATAATTCTACTAGTCTTATAAATTGATTTTAGCCATTATTTCACTATACATAATTCACTAAAGGTGATGGAATGCTTATTTGGTTGATAGCTAATGTATCCCTGAAGAATAAAAGCAATATTAATACATCATTTTGCCATAAAGGTGTTATAGACAGAAAAAGAACATTTTGTCAACTTCAGGAAATAGGAGAACTATTAAGAATTATTTAAAGCATCATAAAGCACCAGCAAAATGTGCAATTGTCAATAGGGGAAGACATTAATCTTTTCATCCCCTTGAACACACTTTCTACAGATTGTGCTTGAATTTACCAGATGTGCAGATTTTTGCATCAGCTACTACATGTTGCTCCTCCTTTCTGTAACAGGGAGAGCACTTTTAAATCACCATCTTGTTCATAGAACATCCAGACCAAGTAACTGCAAAACAATGATTCTGGATGCAAAATTTCTCTTAAAATACTAATCTGATATTGAGACATTAACTCAAGCCAATCAACTCATCTATATTATCAAATAAACATTTCACCTTTACAGAAGGTAATTTACATGTTATAGTTAATTTCATGTTACATTAAAAAAGTTAAATTTGCATTACATAAAATGTAATTTTTATTACTACTTTTTCCTCCCAGCAGAACGACTTACCTGTACACTGTCCTCCATTTGTGGGATCCCCATAATATCCTGGCATGCACGTTTCACATTGTTTTCCTGTTGTTAAGTTTTTACATTGATCACAGACATTACTGTTGATGCAGGTGCTGTGGCCATTACACTGGCAAGCTAGAATATAACATTTGAAAAGCCATTACTAAATAGCTCTTGGGAACAAAATCATCCCTATGTGATTACAAAATTGCACTAGAATGTAATTCTGACAAGTTTAATACTGATTAATGACAAGCATATATATTTGTACTTTGACACAGAACCTCTTTAGCATTGTGACAAGCATTCACAAAAGACCACAGAAGCTGACTATGTAGTGGCATGTCAGATTAAGGTATGTGAGCAAGAATTTTTGCCATTAGGAGTGACCTAATCCAGTCCTCTTAGCTTTAAAATGCTTCCCAGTCACTGAAGAAACCTGTTAAGAGGCAGTAAATCACCAACTGAGACCAAATGAAAACTCCTGTACTTCCATGCAACCCTCTGTGATCTATGTACTGTGATAGAGAACATGACCAACTTGCACTCAAATTTTTATCTACTGAGAGAAAACTTATCAAAAAAATTAAACAAAGTCTTATTTTCAACAGTGCTGGTTCACCCATTAGCTTTGGCACACAAAGGACTTTTAAGGAAACCGAGACCACATCAAACATTTCCAGTCCCTCCTCACTGCGATTGACTTAAATAAAAGTAAAAATGCTGGACTCCTATTCACATAAAATTTATTTTTATTGGCACAAAATTATTTTTAGTCGAATAACAGCACTAGAAACCACTGATCTTGCACCACACCTCCTCTCCAGAGCTCCATGTTTTGGAGAAACTCTGAAAGTACTGATCACTATTGCAGCAGAATCAAAATGTGAATTCTGCCAGAACCATTGATCCTGCTGCCAGGACTCATCTGAACAACGAAGGTTTGAAGGATGACCTCTCTACAGAGAGAGTGGGACCTCTCTATAAAGTGGGACTTCAGAGCTCAGAGCGCTCAGCAGATTAGCAATCTGTCAATTACAGGAGTTTGTCAAATGTCAGACTATGCCAAACCAGTTGATCCCTTATTGGTGAAGGGTGAGCAAGACTCAGCAGAGGACAGCTATCTCAGCAATATCATCTGTTTCTTTTCACTTCTTTTTCTTTGGATTCTTAATCTAAATGTCACAGTGACTGGAGTCTTGGCAAGAAAAAAAAAAAAAAAAAAAAAAAGATTCTCACTGCATGACTTAAATGTTTTTGGAGCTGTTTTAGAATTTAGTAACTTAATACATTTACAGTCATCACCAGGCTTGGCTCAAAAACCATTAAACTTCCCAAGTTTACACACTCTTCCTTTTTCTCTAGCTATGCCTACAAAATCTTGTAAACAAGCATCAAACATTTCTGTACTACTAGACAAGAAGTTTTCTCACTTCCTCGAACAAAACTCCTTAGAATTTACAAGTTTCCCTCTTCCTAAGCATACTTGCTCTTCAGGCAGCTTTGTGGTGTCCTCCTCCAGGCAGTTTGCCATTCTGCAGTTTATTGCCTCTCTAAGAAGAGGCTACACCAAAACACCATGAACTGCATCTCCATTTTGGGCTTTATTGTGTGTCTTGCACATTAAATGACTTGAAGCAAATGTTAAAAGAGAAAATGTGACCAAATAAACCAAAAGTACAAAGAGATAGCACATTAAACAGGTGTCCTATTAAAGTAAGATTGCCTGATTAAGACTATCATAATGTAGGAAAAAGGTTTCATGCTGGTATTCTTTAACTTGTAGGTTATTGATTTATAAATTTTCTATTATTTCTAATGCTTAGTTTTGTATTTCTTAATTTTGGTGTCTTTTACAGGATAAATGAAAGCAACAGGATAAATGAAAGGCAGTTCATGCTCCTGGCCATCAGCAGCTGCCTACAGATAATTACTCCCCAGCTGCCCTCTTCTTTGATGGATACAGAAGGCAGAAAAAAGCAAAAGCTGAAGCAAATCCATATAGTTGGATTTGAAAAAGTAGTAGAATATGTTGGGTGAAAACTTGTTTACACATGAATTGACAATTTTGGTTAAACTACTTGCATTAAATTTCACACGTCAACCTGAATGGCACTGAACACCTTTGTGAGGTGGGAGAGACTAACAAGCTGTGTATTTAGGAAATACTTTAGGAAAGAAATTCCCTCTTGCAAATGTTCTTTGTATTATTCAAAATAATTATATGAATTTGCCATGCTTAAACAGAGAAACATCTCTTATTTCATCCAAGAAAGAAAGGAAGCAGACCTTACCTGGACACTGGATAAAAGACCATTCATAATTTTTCTCTTTTGGACAAAGAGTAGCATCAAGCACCATTTCATTAGAGTGCATGGCAACAGGCTTCATTGGGCCTCTTGATGATCCTTCCAAACATTGTCCTTTTCCAGTGTTACTGGGATCATTACACCATCCACACCCAGGCTGTTCCAAACACTGTCCACAGGTCCTCAGTCCAGAGCAGTTTTGAGCTTTAGTACATGTAATACAACATTAATGCAAGGAGGCTTTTTGATTTAGTTTGGATTTGCTTTGTTTGGTTTTAAATAAGATGCTGGGATTTTAAAACAGTTGAGGAAGAAACAATTTAGCATTTCTATTTCCTTCTGCAAATTTTAAAAATTCAGTAACTAATGATTAGAGTAAGAATATGTCTATTCCCTTTATAAGTTGTACTGCTTCAGGGATCACAAAATACACAACAGGTGTTTATCACACCACAATGCAACAGGAAAGATTTCAAATAAACAAAGATACTTACACAGAACAATAGTTCAAGAATAAATGGAAATAAGAATTATGATAATCTAAACATTGTGATAATTAAATTTAAACAAAAAACTTATTTGAGTATGAAGTACCCCAGGATCACATGTGTATTCACCCATAACTATTACTCACTCTTCTTAAAAGAATTTTTTAATAAAATTTTAAAAGCTACAAATCATAAGTAAACCCATTTAGTTGAACTATATCTTAAGAGTCTTATCTGTTAGAGTAAGTCAGGTTCCATTTTTTTATTTACATACTAAAAATGAAATCTCCTTCTATTTCGTTTATACTTTAATCTTTATTTAAATAATTTAATTTCTCATAGAAATGGTTCAGGTTTCCTAGATATGGAAAAAGTGGGAGGAAAAAAAAAAGTCCAAACAATTCCCAGATTGCTAGTTATAAAGCTTGGGTCAAAATAGCTCTGAAGTATCAGTTGCACTACCTTCATGGAACAGAAAACAGAACCACAAGTGAAAATCCTCTGATATTCTCTGTAGTGGCATTCAGCTGCAAAACTGAGAAGTTATTCTTTAGAGAAGGAGGAGATATTCAAACAGCTTTTTTTTTTATTATTATTTCTTTGAAATCCTAGAGGTGGTCCAACACTGTCAGTTATTCAATCAAAAGTCATAATGAATGGAAGATGCGGGGAAGAGTGGAATATAACTTTTTGTCAAGTAGGCATTAGAATGATAAAATATCACCAATAAAATAGTGTTCTTCATTTTATTTTCACAACTTGGAATGAAATGTGAAGTTTTCAGTCAGGTTTGGATTGGGTTTTTTTATATAAATCACACATGTCTGTGATAAATTTGTTTTTGTTTTTTTTTCCTTGAGAGCAAAACATGCAAAAACTCAGAAATCTATCATTCAGAAAGGTCTTTTTTTTAAAAAAAAGGGTGGGGTTTTTTTCTAAAGGTATAGTTACATTCTATTCTTCAGCTAACTAGTGGCACTACCTTTGCTAAGGGGATATGCTCCATACGCTTTTTTTTTTTATTATTTCTTTGAAATCCTAGAGGTGGTCCAACACTGTTTGTCTGTCAGTTATTCAATCAAAAGTCATAATGAATGGAAGATGCGGGGAAGAGTGGAATATAACTTTTTGTCAAGTAGGCATTAGAATGATAAAATATCACCAATAAAATAGTGTTCTTCATTTTATTTTCACAACTTGGAATGAAATGTGAAGTTTTCAGTCAGGTTTGGATTGGGTTTTTTTATATAAATCACACATGTCTGTGATAAATTTGTTTTTGTTTTTTTTTCCTTGAGAGCAAAACATGCAAAAACTCAGAAATCTATCATTCAGAAAGGTCTTTTTTTTAAAAAAAAGGGTGGGGTTTTTTTCTAAAGGTATAGTTACATTCTATTCTTCAGCTAACTAGTGGCACTACCTTTGCTAAGGGGATATGCTCCATACTTCATTACCCCAGCAGTAATAAAAATCTATTTACCTAATAATTTTTTTTTATTCATTTAAACAGAAACAATGGAAATAATGTTTGAAACACGTTTCATTTGAACATTCATTTTCTTGTTTAAATGGAAAATATCTAATGCTTTAAACTCTGAAAAGGAACCAAAAAAACATCAATGACCTCTTTATGGACACAGATTCTCAGATTCACTGTTTTTCTTCAATTTGTTGCATGGAAAATACATTTTCATACAAAACTGGCAGTAAGCAGTTGACTTCATGCCATGGCCATTTGTTCAGATACTCACGGGAGCACGTGGCAGTTTGCCATTCTAGACACTGTCCATATGGGAAGGAGATGATGTAGGCATTGGAGTCAACGCAGCGTTTAGTGCTGCTACACCACATGCATTCCATACCATTACTTGTGCAGTTGGAACACGTTGTTCGCAGGGAACATGGCTTTTTGCAGGGTCTGGCATTCTGGTTGGGACTAACTGGAAAGGAACCAGAAATATTCATACTTCTGAAGAAAAAAAAGGGCAGTCTCCCCTTGTCTTTACTGGTGTATTCTATTAGGTAAATCCTTGTTAAAGAAAAGCGGTTGCTCTCTTAATTGGCTATAAATACTTTAGTCCAAACTTGCAGTGCAGTATATAAATACAGTAATATTTTATTAAAATTGAGTAACACTCAGCATGAGTCATGCCAGAGCTCTAAAACAGTCCATTTAAAAATTTCACTGCAATTTTCTCTATATACTGAAATAGTAAATTTAATTTCATTGCCTCATAATGTCAGATTAGCTACTCGCATATGCATAAAAAAGTCTCAAGTTTCTATAGCAAGGACAGTAGAGTTCTGGGTCTATTGTTCTCATTAGTTTAACAGTGTATAAGCAACAAATACCACAATTCTCACTTTTCCCTAAAATTTTGCCTTATAGTGTATATATGAAAGGCACTAGAATCCAAAGGGAAAGTAACTAAAGGAACATTTTTCAATGCAAAATATATTTGGTTGATTTTTTTGTTTTGGTTTGGTTTTTTGGTTGGCTGGTTTTTGGGTTTTGTTTTTCTCTACTAGAGAACACATTTTGACTAGGTTACTGGTGTATGTCATCTCAAAAGTCACAGTATACAAAAAGAACCTGTATGCTTTAAGTCCTGATTTTTTTCCTGGATTTCCAATAACACTTTCAAGTATACAAGAACAAGAGTATAGTAATTCTTAGGTAGGAACACGAGAGTAAAGATAGCATTATATTTTCCTTTCAGAAGCACTTTGTGAAAATTCAGGGTTAAGCCTGCCAGTGTATTACCATGTGTTTGCATTCTATTGACTCAAATGCAACACAAACCAAGTTCACCAGCCATTTTTTGTCTGTTAAGATATAAGACCAAATCACTTAACCAGGGCTGTTTCTGGATTGGACATACTATGTACATATTCAAGCTGTGGTTTGCAAATTAAAAATACAAAGGAAAAACCAACTAAAATCAGCTGAGTCAAGTATTCTCCTAAGGCTGAAGCACCATGACTTCTATAGACTTTGAAGCACCTGAAGATTAAAGAAAAAAACTAAAACAAGACACCAGTAACAGATGCATGTAACATTGATTTAATTGTAAAATACATTTTAATAATGTGGTTAGTAGGTAGAAAGGTTCTCCTCCCCCTCTATTCTGCCTTGGTTAGGCCACGTCTGGAATATTGTGTCCAGTTCTGGGCCCATTTGTTCAAGAAGGACAGGGAACTGCTTGAAAGAATCCAGTGCAGAGCCACAGAGAAGATGAAGGGAGTGGAACATCTCCCTGATGAGGAAAGGCTGAGGGAGCTGAGTCTCTTTAGCTTGGAGAAAAGGAGACTGAGTGGTGACCTCATCAATGTTTACAAATATGTTAAGGGTGAGTGTCAGGAGGATGGAGCCAGGCTTTTTTCAGTGATGTCTGGTGATAGGACAAGGGCAATGGATGCAAACTGGAGCATAGGAGGTTCCACGTAAACCTCAGAAATAACTTCTTTACTGTGTGAGTGACAGAGCACTGGGACAGGCTGCCCAGAGAGGTTGTGGAATCTCCTTGGCTGGAGACATTCAAAACCTGCCTGGACAAGTTCCTGCATGATGTGCTCTGGGTGACCCTGCTCTGGCAGGGGGGTTGGACTAGATGATCTTTCGAGGTCCCTTCCAACCCCTAGGATTCTGTGATTTTGTCATTCTGTAATGTCATTTGTGTTCCACCTAGTGCATCCTTCACATTTTCAGATGCCTCTTCAACTGTGACTATATCTTTCACTATTCTGAGAAATATCTAGTAAATCATTAACTGTTAACTCAGAATCAAGATCACTGTGAAAGACAAAATGTTTAGGAAACATAGATGGCAGTAGCAATAAGTGTTCGACATATACTTTGCAACTCCATTACTATTTCAAGCAGCTTATAAAAAACCTAAAGGTTCTGTACGATTTGATTATGCAAGTTAAAAACTCAAATTCGCAGCAAAACCATCAGATTGACAGGCAGTGTTTCCAACACACTAGCAATGCAGCTGTTTTCCCCTTTTGCACAGACAATACACAAAACAAATCTGAAGGGGAAATCTGAAGAACTTCATGTGTTCAACCTCACAGATATCAGAAAATTCATAGGACAAGTGGAGCATGAAAATCTTAGTTGAACTGTCAAGTGACAATTCACCATAGTAATCTTTACGCAAACAAACCTAGCAAACGAGAAACAGAATTTTGGGTTTCTCAGTCTTTTAGACCATAAAAATGTTCATTAATGTTTAGTGAGATTCAGGAAGAAGACATCAGCATTCTTGAACACCTCTACAGACACCTTCATGCTCCAATCACTGTTATTACTGCCTACTACTAATTTAAAGGCAACACACTTCTGGTGAAATACAAACTAAGCCATGTAAATTAATTCACAAATAAATATTTACTGCTTTAGGCTTAGTATTTGTTTTCTAGATTACAGCTCCCTGTTTTTCAAAAATAGCAAGTAATTTTTTTAATTATTTAATCCAAATTATCTAAAAGCCCCTCTTAGCCAAATGAAAAACACACAGCTCGCTAATTAGACAGTGACAGTAACCGTTTAATAAGGGATTGCTTACCAACAGGTTTTTCACATACAAGACCATCAGCCATTGCAGTGCATGGATTTGCTTTCAGACCTGCCACCTCTGCTCTTTCCAGGTATGCACAGAAGCCAGAGTCATTCGGCTCTCCAGGAAGCCACTGCAGAGTTGTATTTGTAAAAGGAGACATGTCATCCCATCCCCAGTAGGAGATGTTGATCTTGCGTAAACCTACCCAAGGTGATATTTTCTATGAATCAGAATGAAAGAAATGTGAGATAATTAGTTAAAATCTTGCTTTGTTTTGGTTGTGAGGCTTTTTTGTAAAACATTTCAAAGAATAGCTCAGCAGCAACAACTTCACATTTTGAGAGAATTCACCATGTTCTTTTCTCACTTTATCATCTCATTAGTCATTGTCCATACAGTTTTTATCTTAATTGCTTGTTCTACCTTGCTGAAACCCTCCCTCTCAAAAAAAACCAAACAAACAAACAAAAAAAAATCCAACAAACCCACACACTATATGTTTCTATTGTACTAAAAAAAATCTGTGTTTGTTCTGTTTAAAGTCAATTCTGGTTGCTATTATTTCATACAGAGTCAGAAACCAGGACAAATGGATCTAATGACATTTTGGAGTGGAGTTTGTTGGTTTTTTTCCAGTGGCAGTTCAGAAATGAAACTGGCACATCCACAACTCTTCTGCCATTAAATACACATTGAATACACATATATTATTGATTTTTAAGCTATAAAAAGACCCTACTCCAGAAAACATAAAAAGCATTAATTCTTAAAAAAATAAAAGGAACAGAGATACAGAGAGACTACTGGTTGTGATAGGTATGTGATGGTAGGTGAATATCAGGGAGCCAAACAAGGAAGCTATTTGCACCATGCAAAGAGCAGATGTTGTCACCTGCAAAGCAGAGATGTTGATCTGCTTGAGAAATAGGTTCTCAACTCATTTAATTCACAAGCCAAGGTGCATAAAATACTATAATATACTAAAAGAGAACCTGCCGAGCTTCTATATCCTTGTGCCATTTCACAAGTGAAGCAGGACTCACTGAAATATGAAGGATTAGTAATTTTGCTTCAGAAATACCAGTGGTAGCTACTTTTTAAAAGAATCAGTAAGTAGATAATCAGTATTCCTAACCTCCCTAAAATGTATTCCTTATGCTCTCCTTTTCCTGTCCTATCAGTTGGCAGCATGATCAAACAAAAATTGCTACAATAACAGATACATGGATGCAAGAATAGACTTCAATAAACCAGAAAAAAACCAAAAAATGTTGCATTCAATATGCAGTGATGCACTCTGGGAGACTTAAACAGCAATGAGAATGTCCAGGAAAAAATGTCACCGCCCTCTGTTGTGTCTTGCTTTTGTATTTACTTCATAACTTCATTGCAACCCCAGGTGATCAACTTTGCAGGAGTCTGTGGGAGCTCCCGTGTTTTGGATGCTAGAAAGAATACTGTGCAAGCAGTAAAAGGTGGAAGGTGGGCATCTGGAAAGTGGCAGGTAATACATCTGTTGTTTTATTTGTTATTTAGTGGCCTAGATTGCTGTATATGTACGTGTTCCACATGCACAGAAAACCTTCGATATTTATGTGTGTCTCTAGACATCTCTCTGTAGAACACTAAGTGTGCATACCAGGCACGTATAGAAATGTCAGGGGCTTAGGGAGGATAAATTGCTGACAAACACACACCTAAAACAACCCTAAATGCCTACTTTGGGGCTGAGGAATTCTAGCCAAGAGAATCTTCAACATATTACTGTATTACTGACTGTTTCGACTGCACTGCCAAATAATTTGGCCTCAGCATTGGTATACAGAAAATAGAGATCCTATTCAGGCTATGGTGAAAAGCATGTCAAGCCAGTAATGAAGACTGACAGGGTAGCAGTGACATTTGGAGATAGATTCTTCTTTCTGAGTAGGAGAGTGACTCAGCACCGCTCTAATGATGACAAAGTCACAGGGAGGAACATGAAATCCAGAGTAGTCTCAGGAGATAAAAGCAGCACCCCTGAAATCAAAGGCTTCTAGCAAAAGCAATACATACTGTGGTCATCATTCTTAACAGCTGTAATGTCTGAATAACTCATAGTCATCAAGTCAGAGATCTCAAATTCCACATGTACCATCTTTGGCTCTTTCCTAGTGTAACACATCAAAATACAGATTTGAACACTGATTAACATGCTCTCAAATACACACCATCACAGCTACTGCCTCATAGGCCCAATCATGCAGCTCTGGGCATGTTGTTAGGATGCCAAAAACAGATTACCCAAAATGTTTTTTAATATCTGATTAAAATAAGGTAAGTAGCTGAGAAGTAGGCCACCAAAATGCTCCAAGGACATGCTTAAAGCACATATTAAACTCTGTTAATTCAATGATGTGGTAGACCAGCTGAAGACTGATGGTGATAGCAGAAACTGCATGTTGATATCACCAAAGCTTATCAGCAAAAAAAGCCTGCTGCTGCACTGCCTGAAAGCCAACAGGAAAAAACATATAGTGAATAGAGAATTCAAGAAGTTCCACCTGTGACACCTGCAGCCACCACTGTTCTGTGAATATCAAACTAATTTCTACAACAACAACAACAACAAAGCATAAATCTAGTCCTTCTCTCCCAAGCTGAAAGGTTCAGTCATAACAGCTGGGAGTCTCAAAGTACTTGAAGCAATGGAGGGACTTCAAAGGTGCCAAATGAGAACACCAATCCAGTTTTTTTTCAGGCTGAAGAAATAATGAGAGTTGAACACCCTTCACTTGAACTCTATGGTTGTTTCATTTAATGCAAAATGAATGTAGGAAATTGATTCTTTTACTTTGAATATCTTGCCAAAGATGTTTCTGAAGAGGATCAGACAGGAGGGAAACCAGACTGCCTGTTCTCTGTACCCAGAACTCACTGATCTAAGATTCCAGTTTCCAGACCTCTTGAAAAATATTGTTATCAAACCATGTGGGTGAAAAAATACAGTACAAATCAACTTTCCACTTCAGAAAAACACTTGGTGACATGAAATCAGCTCCAAATTTTTCTTATTTTTTCTTCTCAAGAATAGCAGCTTCTTTATTGGAAGGTCAGATGATCTTTGCTCAATATTTAAGTGGGAAGAAAGTTACTCCTCAGAGAGTTCTGAAGAGTTGCTCTTTCTTTCTCAGGGCCTTGATGACTGTATACTTTCAAGACATCCAAAAAACATAACTGAGAAACTCAACCTATCCTCAAAGTATTTGCCAATTAGTAAGTCGTTCATATTCAGAGTTGAAGACGAATGTGCAACTCAGTCAGAATCCATTCATTTTCTATTTGAGGAAGGAGGAAAAGCTCCCTGTACCCTCATCCAGGTCATTGATGAAGATATTGAACAACACCGGTCCCAGTACCGACCCCTGAGGGACTCCAATAGTCACAGACCTCCAACTAGATTCTGCCCCATTGACTACAACTCTGATTTCTTCCTTTCAACCAGTTCTTGATCCACCTCACCACCTGATCACCAAACCCATACTTGATCAACTTATCTACAAGGATGCTGTGGGAGACGGTGTCAAACACTTCACTGAAATCGAGATAAACCACATCTACCGCTCTACCATCATCTATCCACCTAGTAATTTCCTCATAGAGGCTATAAGGTTGGTCAAACATGACTTAGCCTTGGTAAAACCATGCTGACTGCTCTTGATGACCTTGATTGTTCAATCCACTGTTTACTCAAAAAGTGTCAGTTGGACTAAGTTGCTTTGAGATCTACACTGAACATGATCATTTCTAGTCATGACACATTTTTTCAGGCACTACTGCTGCCTCAGCACTAATTTAATGAGGGCTGAATAATTAGCATATGTGTGAAGTGAGCAAGTCTACCTTTACTGAATAGCCAATTACTACTGAGGCTCAAAATTCTCCCGTTTCCTAATTATGCAAATTGCTAAGGAATTATCTCTCTCTTTCAGAAACTTCTTGCCACCTTTATTTTAATTCCTTTCATTTTGGAGCTAAATTGTCCTCAAAGTGCACAATACACTTCTGACTCTTTTTCTAATGTGTGCATCACAATATGTTACTATGAAACTTCAACCAATTTTTCAAGTATCGTTTCAACTCTGATTTCTATGAAAATGTTTGCCTTAAGAAGAAACGTACAATTAAACTCTGAACATACAGTGCCCCCTTAGTGCTCAGATTTCCACAACATTCAGTTTTGAGAAGGGGCCTACAGTTACTTTGCCTCTTTTCTGCATCATTATGAACAAAAAAACCTATTTCCTGAAAATAAGAGCTGTATGAAGGGAAACCACCCATTCTATTTACTATGTTATTGATTGGCTTCTATTCTTTATAGATTCTAACTATGCCAACACCTGCACAGCTCATATTTTGTAAATATTTACCCAGTGAATGACACATTATAAACAGTGGAAACAAGCTTCATAATTAAGTGTCTCAGTATCCATTAGACACAAATGATTAAATGTAAATGCAATTAGTAGTAAGAGTCATGCATTAGGTCACGAGAACCCTTTTTTCCCCACCTCTTTTCAAATTTTGCTGTGGTGGCATTGGTAGAAAAAAAAATACAAAATCTGGCAAACTGAAAAGACTAAAACTTCCACAATTTGCACCTACAGAGATTATAGCTACTATTCCAGTGGGACTTTGGTTTAGACACAAAGTGCTGAAATAATTTATTAGACCTCCACAACCACAATAGTAAAGTGGAACTGCTAGAAACTGTAATAAAGAGACTAATTCAAGGAAGAAAAAAAAAAAAAAAAGTAGATGTCAGCTTCACTACAGCCAAGCATACAATAAAACCACAAAACCAGACAGCCCTCTGAGAATACTTTGAGCTAACAAGGAACAACGTTGCCATGGACAGCTCACTAATTAACTGCAACCTACACTCAAAGTGTGATTTATAAAGGATGTTTAACTCTTAGAGCAGCGAGTTAAAGGTAAAGTTGCAGTTTATATAATGAAAGACACTGTTTAAAAACGTTCTCATCTTTGTTTATGCTTACTTCATCAAAACTGAATCTCCTCAGAATTTATGGCATGCTAACAAGAAAATTATTATTTTTAGTTAAATCCCACAGTTGTGAGCAAACTCCCAAGAGAACTAATTGCACTTTTAAATGAGTTTGCAACATTTCAATACTAGCAAGAACAATTAATTAGCCTCATATCGCTGTTCAATCTACTTTTCTGAAAACTTGATCTTCCCTGTCATAATATTTTACTAGGTCAATAAAACATCACATAAGAAAAAATATCAAGTGTTACTTGGCTTTAGTACAATGTGCAGCAGTCTATCCATTGAGTTTGCTTTGCCATTCTCTTAAAGAACTTTTTTTCCAATGAAAAATACAGATTAGACTTTAAATTATAGGTGATAGTTTTAGAATATATCTTCAAATTTAACAGACTTCATACTACAAAGGTCTTTGTTTCATCCCTTCCTTTAGTACCAAATTAACTGTCTCCTGATCCTTTAAAAGAAGTCTATACATTGATTTCCAATTTAGCATTGGAATGAAGAGAAATTCTTGACACACAGTGAGTTCTGGTCAGGATATGGAGAGAACGACAGCCTCAGCTCCCTCTAAAACTTTCCAAATCATCAATGTTTTGTATTTTTCTAAACAAGATTAGTAAATTGTTCTAAACTTCTCCCAGAACAAGGACTTTGTGTATTAGAAACAATCTCCAAGTCCCACACTGTCTCTAAGAAATAAGAATTCTTAAGTCTGTCCAGGCTGTAGTGTTCACTAACACTATTTTAAGCTTATGAAACACACAATAGTTACCAAAGCTGTTTTATTTTATTTTCTCAGTAGAAGAATCTCAAATAAAGCAGAGATAAAAACAGATCCATATTGTTGTTTCCAAATGTTGCTCTGACACCTTCACTATTCCTGAAAGCTTTTGTTTCACGTAGACAAAAGATTTTAAATCCTTTGATGTTAAGCACACATGTCAAACTCCACCACAGATAACACAGATTGAAGTCATACTATTCACCTTACAGTTTCTCTGACTACGTTTGTGAACTCCACACCACGACCTGTTACAAAAAAAAGCATCTAAAACGTAATCTCAGGCCTTAAATCATTATGATTGCAGTTTGAGAGGAAAAGACAGACAAAAGAACATCAAGAAGTTTCAGAGAGCCTCCATCACACCTGATAAGACACTTAGGCTGTCTCATGCAGAAAAAATGTAACTGGACAGACAGATAAAAATGAAAAAAAAAAAAATTCTATATGTCACTGAAACACCAGGATAACTTATGGCACCATTTTATTAGAGATTCTGATAACTGAATGATCATTTAACTCAAGATATCTTTTTAAAGTGCATACATTTGTCTGCAATTGCATAAACTGGGAGGTATCTTGATCTTGCATCACCACATTGGCTAAGGACATCCTTTATTTAAATAAAGATACACTCAGCAGGATGTCACCTTGTAGAAGTTCCAAACTCTGAAATGTAAGAAAAATCTACCTTCCAAACACTCATATAAGCCATTTCTCATCTACACATCAAGCCAGTCAGTTAATATCAGTCATTAGATTTGAAGGCCTCCTGTGTGGTATTTTAATAGAAATCAGGAGGGGTGGGGGGGAAAGAAGCAGCAAAGTAAATAACTAGATATATGATTGCCATGTGTGATTTTGTTGTTTTGTTTTCAATTATGTTTTCATCTTTATCTCACATCAACGGGTGGACAGACAGAATGTGTTTCAAGGCTTCAATAAGTGCAATATCAAGGGAGAACATCTGACATGAAAGAATCACTTCTCTCTCTTCTTTATTAGCAAATTGTAGAAAATGCATGTCTTCTAGTAAAAAAAAAATAAAAAATTGCTTTGTATAGGTCCTACATTATGAGGAAAAAACCTAAAATCTTAAAGTACATAAGCTATGTTTGCATCTCCTTCTTCAAATGGAACACTAAAAAGGATTATATTGGATATTGTGATTGGCATTACACAACCCTAAACTCTTGCACACAAAAACAATCATTAGCTATTGTTTCCTCAATCCATCTGCAACCTAACAGCTTTGCAAATCCCATACTAGCTTGACATGAGCTTTAATTATTTTTCATAATTCTCTTCCATTTTCCTTTAACTGTAAAATCCTGAACTACTTCATCAGGATTTTTATACAAGGAAAGAAATGCTACATGTTCTAAAAACCAAAACATACATTTTTTAAAAGTCCCTTGCTAAGATGAATTGATTTGCTTGTAATGGAATCTTATTCTGCTAAGACATCCTGAGTGTACACTGTGGGGTTTTACACCTTTTGAGCCTACATACATTCTATATGCATGTACCAAAGATGTGGATAGGCTTCCTAGAAGTTTAAATAACACAGCAATCAGCATTTGAACATTTAAGTACTAAAAAACTGAAGCTGATCCCTTATGGACATGTAATTAATCTTCAACTTCCCTTCTCTTGTCTTACATTTAGCAAGTTAATACAGATCACTTTCCTAAGGAATATTCTGATGGCATATACCTGAATTCGCCAGAGGCACATAAGAGTCTTCAGCCCTCTCCCTTCCTCATCATTATCATAGACCACTAATTAGCTCCAGGCTGATTCCTGCCATGCAGGGAATTTCCATGATTCACATACTAGTAACAGCTTCTTTGTGACCTTTTGGTCCCACACATGGGTTAATATAGGCAGCTAGGATTTTCTGGAGAAGAGAATTATCCATCTTTAGAATTTCCCTGTTCTCAGCTGCTTGCAGTCTAGCTACTCACCATCCAAAACCCATCCTGTGAACAGTTTCACAGGTACTGATGTGAAAATCAGGATTTTTTTCTCTGTTGCAGTGAAAATTGTTTTCTTTTTATTTCTGCTGTCACAGTATATTGAAAAGGGCTGGAATTTCCTACACCTGTGTTCCAGACATTTTCTTTGAGTCGTATTTTAAAAGTAATCAGTAACAGGTAAAGATGGGAAGGAGAAACACTTGGAAAATCCTGTCAGCAGCTTTAAATATGGGAGTTCCTTAATATCCTACACATCACTTTTATCAGTATTTAGCACCACTCTACATTTCTTTGAAGGCATAAACTTTACCCTCTTTGGGCAAATCCCTAAAATAGGTTTCTGAAAGCAAGTTTAATTCACAGCAGCATCAATTACAGTTACTCAATTTACCTGAAGTGTATACTTCTGTATTTCATCCAGAACAAATTCCACTTCTTTTGAGGTTGTTAATGAGGCAAGATTCCCACTCAGGTTGTAGCAATACAACTTGGCATTGTCATAACTTTCACGACTAGAATTTATGCGGAGGCAGGCATCACCAATATGACTCCATCCTTCCCCACACAGATGAGCTAGTGTAAAAAACATACCATTAAAGCTGTTTTGCAAAAACTTTTCAAAAACCTAAGGGAGTCTGAATTTTATCTTCCTGAGATCATAATTCAAAACACATCACACAACCAATTTTTCATTTCATGTCATGTAAATTCTGAATTTGATCATATTGATAGCTGCATTTTTATGAAAAGAAACTTGTTAACAACTTATAAAATATTTATATTTGCTAAGTTTCAGCATAACACTATTTTTATAACACTTTCTTCCCTGTATTCAGACTTGAGCAGAACCAAATGCTAAAGTTTGTGTACATAATAGCATTTTAACCAATCACTTTACCTAAATGTTTTCAGGAAACAACTGTCCTAGCATAAAGAGCTCACAGTTTTATCCTATCTTTGTTTTACCAACCTATCATTTCATCTGTATTTGCCTAAATACAAATGCAATCAAAATGACAAGAAATTCAGATAACATCTGAAAACATGTCCACTTCAAAATATTTCAGCATTACTCAGATAACTATTAGAAGATGAGTAACTCAGAGCAACTGCTATAGTGCACATCTTTACACAGGTAACACAAATGCAGCTTTAAACTGAACAAAATGAATTGATTAAAGTTATTTAACGACTAATCTCTGTGAAAAATATCGGTGTCTATTATCTTCATCTGGACATAAAGATCAAATGGAAAAGGTTCTGATATCTAACTGCATGTATCTAGCTATTAATATGAATTAAAGAATAAATATTCCTTCAGAATATGAAGTCACCTTCTGAGAGTATTTTACATTAGCATTTTAATATTCACTGCTTTCATAGTATTATCAATATTAGACAATCAAAGAACTAGATCTCAGGCCCTATCTGAATAGGAAAAATTAAGTATATCTGAAGTATAATTTATAAGATAAAACCCCAGCTAGCAAATTAACAGTGTCAGTGAATATGTAGCAGTACAGGACTTGGTATGGCAATTCAGCTCTGCACTCAGTGATCCCCACAGGCTAAGAACTTGTCACTGGCTTATGCAGAGGTACATGTCATTATGCCTTCACTAACATTATTATCTCTTCTAACAAGATTAAAGGTAGCACTGATATACCAGTTAGTGATGTAATTACACTGTGTTCACCTGTACAGGCACAGCCAGGAGGGAAGACTCAACATGAGAGAAAAAAAACAGGTCAATCCATTGAATAAATATTTTCTGGAAACAATGGAAGTGATTTAACCAATTTTGTAATCAACTATAAAAAGCAGCACCACCACCTCACAGTCCTTACCAGGTAGTGCCTGGCACTCCTGCTGCCTCTGGTCCCACTGGCAGTTCAGGTGTAGCGAGCAGCTTTTGCAGCTGGTCAGTTTATTGCAGATCTGTTCATTCCTCACATGACATTTGGTGTAGTTTTTAACCGACTGTAAAAATAAAAGACAAAACAGCATCTCAAACATATGTCAAACTATCAGCAAGCCAGAAATCAAGACTGAAATAACACAGCAGGTGGACACCTCCCAGAAAATCACAGCTATCTAAAGGCTACATTGGATTTAAGCTCTTCGTCTAGATTCCTTTATTATCCAGAAGAGAGTACAAAACACATCTCTAGAGCTCAAATCACCCCTCTGTCCTAAACAGCAAACTCTGAGTGGGTCAAACAGTACTTTGAAGATGTCTCTTCCATGTACAGAGCTCAGGAAGAGCTTAATAACTAAACTAAATCTTGTTTCTTAGACAGTGGAGGAATATGCTCTCACTAAATTATTTCATCTTACACAGATTAAAGCAAGCAAAAGAATCAAAATATTAAAAATGGCACCAGATGCAAGTGTAAAATAATTAAACATCATTGACTGGAGGTGCAAGAAAATGCTCTTTATCTGGATTGAGTGAAACTAAATTAGGATTTAACTGCAAACCTGCATGCAACAAAGCTAATATGAAATGTACAGAATCTACAGCAAATTATTTTGTCAAACAGTGACATAAACCCAAGAATAACATAATTCCTTTAGTATACAAGAAAAGGAGTAAGCACCGAAGGAATTTTTACTTGTGTTTTTTGTTGGGTTTGGTAGGGTGGTTTGGTTTTTTTCTGAAAATTGAGGCCTTCAATTTCAAGTCAGGCATTTTGAACACAAATCTTTTTCCTTTCTGTATTGTCCTGGTTTGAGCCAGGATGAAACCACTTTTATTTATTTATCTATTTAGTTATTTATTTCCCTTGAGGAAGTGTTCCAGCTTGGGCTGATAACAAGTGGTGGAACTTTTTTGTAAGTGCTGGGACTCCAAGGTCACATCTTTGCTCTGCCAGCTCAGATGCTACGGAGAGATCTATGACCCCCCCATAGGAGGCTGAGTTAGACAGACAGCAAAATTGGCCAGAAATATTCCATTCCATATATCTACATAAGCTCAGAGGAAGGCCAGAGATCACAGAAGACAACTTCCTTCCTGCTTCTTCTTCCCTTCTCGTCCATCCATGGCCGGCGTCTGGGGAGGACTCCGTCCATCACCTTCGACCCCCAGGCTGGAGCTCTCCTGACCCTCATCACTCTCTGCTTTCTCTGGCAGCTCCGGCACTTTTCAGGACTGTTTGCAGCTCAGGAGATGCTGTGGAAGTTGCTGGGGGTGGGCGGAGATAATAGGGGTTTGCACATAGCTGAACATATTTGTATATAATTGTATATATTTTCTTTTATCATTAGTGTTTAATTAAAGCTGTGTAGTTTAGTTTTCAATCCAGAGCGTCTCTCTCCTCATTCTCTCTCTCCTTCCCTACCTGGGTGGGAGGGGGAGGGAATCGAGAGCTTTGTTGTCAATCCTGAGGCGAACCATGACATCATAGCACTTATAATTAAGACATAATATTGTTAACTTAGAAAACAGTCCAAAATCTCAGTCAATTCATCCTCTTAACCATAAGGTTGTCTCTACCTATGTGATTTCAAGGTAATAATTAAAAAATAAGTCAAATTCAAGACAGCTTTATACTCTCAGAAACATGGAAAGTTTGAAGTTGGAAGGGACCTCTGGAGATCACCTTGTCCAAACCTAGTAACTCATGTCTCTCTAACAAAAACAGATTCATTCATGCATAGTAGCAAAAATGGATTGCACTTAGAAAGCAAATGTATGGTTTGCTCAACAATGTTCCTTGCTTTCCTCTCTCCATGGAGTATGATAAAGCACATCTAAAGGAGTAATATGGCAGTGAGTCACATAGTTGTTGGTACTGGAATGATGATGACAGGGTATCAACCTACTGCAGTCAGGAGGGAAGACAACCAGCCTTCTTTTATTTTTTTAAAAGTTCTGAAATGATGTAATTGTTAAAATGAATTTTCAATCTCACACTGAACCAGCTTCATTCCTGTTTTTTTTTTTTTAAGGGATTTCTTTGTTGCCTTTATTGGATCAGATGTCCATCAGTGAGCTTATTATAAAAGGTATTCACTGTTTCTTTCTTTTATTTGAAAGGCTACTGTGAAGTAAAAAGAACCAGAGAGGCCATTCTAGGAGAAGGCATCTACACCCGAGTATGCAACAGAGCCAAAGTCAATGCCATAAAGTAACAGAATGTCTATCTAGGCCAATAAATGCATACAAACACTAATGCACAAAAAATCCTTTGGTACAGATCCACATTTAGTTTCATTCAGTAATAGAGCATATTCACAAAACTGCTTGAGAGATGATTTAAAGTGAATTTTAGGGCACAAGTAGCTACTACCTGCCCATTTACAATGTCTCAGCTAATACTTTTAACACTTCATGATGACATAGTCAAAATCCTTAAGTACTCAGATTGTTTTCAAAAGTTACAAGCTCTTCATTGGTATAACAGAGCTTACAATCGAGATATTTGTTCTATTATTTTCTAATAATAAAGCCTGTTGTGTACTGGTTATTTTATGCCTAAAACAAAATTCGAAGTACAAGTGACTATTCTGTAATAATGTTCTCTGTTGTATTCCCTTATTCCCAGCACTTATTTCCTTAAATCCAATTTAAACATTACTTTCCTGAAAATCTCATTAGTTCAATGTAGATCTTTACCCAATATGTAATTCATATTAACACAATATTAAAGTTATAACTTAAGCTACCAATTCCAGTGAAATTCAGAAATATGACAGCCCATCTGTTACTGAAGTTCTGTATTGCTGTAGGATATTTTTAATGTTTGCACACCAAAGTATAAGTAAATCGTGTTATGTATAAAGCTTCCCACTTACATCTGATTTACTTTACTTTTTTCAGTACTGATGGTGCTACGGTGGTATATAGACAGACTTATAGCTATTAAATAATCTACCTCTCTCTCCTTCTGGATTTTTCAGGTTATGTGCATAATCTTCTCTAGCTTGCCTAGTCTAACTCTGAATTATTAATCTAATCAATTTGCTATTACTTCTCTGAAGCTATCCCTGAATCTTACTATTGGGTATTCCTTAGTCTTAGATGTTCTTTTTTCCTCCAATATAAATTGGATGTTAATGATTTCTTCTAGGCAGTGTGGTAGGTTAACAGGTGCACTTGATGATCTTAAAGTCTTTTCCTACAAATGAAAGTGCTGAAGTGCAAAATCAATGTAACAGACTTAAGGGCAGTGAACTGCTACTAAAAGTAAATAAAATCTACTAAAAAAAAAAATAAAATATAAATATACCACAAACAGAACTTATTTCTGAAAAAGCTAAAGGAAGGAAGATGTGAGACAGAAGCTAAGGGAAAAGACAGATATGAGCAGGACAGAAAGCTGTTTCTCCAAATTTTAAAGGAGGAAAG